CCGAGACCCTGTCTGCGTCTGAACTTTACCTTTCTCTGTGAGGTTCGCCGAACCCAGGTGGTCGGGTCTCCGCGACTTGGGCCAGACCCTGCCACTTGGCTTCAGCGGTTCGAGGGGCTTTGTATAAGCTCAGGGACCATTTTATAAGAGAATCTAACATGACTGCTGTGTAATAATTGCAAGATAGCATAATAGGATGTTATATATATATATAGCATACGGTTATATAGCATAAAATGCTATGAAAGAGCATAATATGACATCATATAGTCTGGTGGTATAATCTTCGTTTAGGGTTTTAGGGTTCTCGTGCTGCTGGAGAAGAGGTTGGGATGCTGGAATGAGCCAGGGTTGGTGGGTAGGGTTTAGGGTTTAGGGTTTATGGTTTAGGGTTTAGGGTTTGGGGTTTAGGGTTTAGGGTTTAGGGTTTAGGGTGATTGTACCTACAGTCTCCATTGTAGTTCCTTTTTTTGGTTTAACCAATTATATATTAAGGAAATTATAATGTATCCCCAAAAAGGAACTACAATGGAGACTATAGGTACTATAGAAGCTTAAAGAATAACCAATAGTTTGTGGGGGTTCCGTATTAACAATAATAGTATAGTAAACCCCCAAAAAACTATTCCAACTATCAAGGCCCCTACATTAGCCCGGGCTAGCCGTTTCTGCTTTCATCGCAGTCATAGCGATGCGTTTCCTTAGAGGTGACTTGGCACTACCACTCTGTAAGCCCGTACGATGCTAAAGCTTGTCCTTGCCTTTGTCCTTTGATTCCTCCGACGCTTGCAGTTTTCAGCGAGCAGTAAAATGCCGGGTGTTTGCCCCGTTCGTGTGCACGAGTGGTCGAACCGACACAGAGATCATATCTTGCGAACCTAGGATGCTGTACGTGCCTCTCATCGCTCTCTTCTACTGTGCAGCCTGGGTGTCAAAGACTGTGAGAGCCTGCAGTGTTTGTGCTTCCCTGGCATGGTTTGCCGCGACGCTGCTTTGCACACTACTGACCTTTAAGTCTCGGCGGCTGATCTGATTATACCACTAGACACACAGGAATATACTATACAATGATGTAATATCTAATAAATTAAAAGCTGACCCAGCTGAACGCTTCGTCGGATTAACTGATGCCACGGAAGTTCTCTCAACGTTTTTGAGCCTCACCATCTACATCATGTTAGTTGGTACCGCATGGGTACTAATTTCACACTGGGCAATGGAACAGCGAGCAAAATCGGCTTCACGTAATGGATAGATAGCATGGCGAAGTGTCGACGAAAAGGCACAAGGTAGCGCGGGGCCTGTGATGCAGTAACACGGATCAGCCGCAACATATTTTTGAAAACCTCCGAGAGAGCACAGAACACGCCAAAGAGCGAGGTAGCCTGGAGCTTGTACCGTAGGATCATGCGGCAGAGAGCGGTTCAGAACCTTGGCCCCGAAGGCAACCTTTTCCTAAACCCTAAAACCCTAAACCCTAAACCCACCACAAGTGTGTGCTTCGGCAGACGTAAAAGTCGTCACACTTAAAAAAATTCCCTAAACCCTTATAACTAAACTATAAACCCTAAACCCATTCGTCTTTAGGGAGGAAGCCCAATGTGCTTGGATGAGGGTTCAGCACAAAGTGTGATAGAGCTCTAGCTTCAACTTGCACCCTGAACCCTAAACCCTAAACCCTAAGCCTGAGTCTTTTACCCCAAACCCTAAACCCTAAACCCTAAATCTTGAACCCTAAACCATAAACCCTAACCCTGAATCCTAAGCCCCAACTCTAAACCAAAACACCTGGAGCTCCGGCTCCCCCTATCGTTTCAAGTTTTGAAGAACTCGCCGAAGGTTTCAGTTTGTCATTCTGGCACGGTTCTCCGCTGTGAGACGTAACTGGCTTCTTAGGATTCAGGATTTTGGGGTTCAGGGTTTATAGAGTGCATAGGGCATTTCTGGTTTACCATTTGCCGTTGGGGGTTTAAGCTTTATCTGTTGTTTTTGTTTCGATGGTTTAGGTTAGAGCAGTGCTGTCAGACCCAGCATTCCACTGTCAGTACACAGACACACACGCACGCATTCACCTGACGAGGGGTGCTCGCTCCACGCTGAGAAGGGTTCGAGAGATACATGTTTTGTCGAATTTTTTGACAGGATGAGGTATTCAGAACGGCTACCCTAACGTATCACCGTCGATGACTCATACACTGAGGACTGCTGACTGGTCTCCAGTGTTGATAACACAACTATCATAGGCGTCCTTATGGTAAGCACGATTAAAGCAGCGACCAAGTTGCGCAGGCTGCATCTATATGTATGGGTATGCGCTAAAGAAACCGAGGCCTAGCAAGTTTCGTAGTTGTAGGCTACAGTATCCAGAGACTCCAAGCTTTTTCAAGTAATTCAGGAGGTATAACTTTATGTTCCAGGCGGAGCCTCATTAATGAATATGGTTCAAAAGGAACGACGAGCCTTTTCGGAGTCTCCGGGCAGGGCTTGCAAAATAGAAGCATCCTGACCCCGGATGGCGGCTTAGACTTTACGAGCTGACTCGGAGTATTCGAATGTTCTGGTTTAGGGTTTGGGGGCTTAGGGTTTTAGAGTTTAGGGTGAAACCTAACGGCTGCAACTGCACCCACTGGAACCAAAGTTCCTGGAGGGACTTGAGAGCAGCCCTTCTGCAAGGCATGTTTTGTTTTTTTGTTCCGCCCTGGCATGCCCCATGCTCTTTGTCCATGAAGAACTACGATAGAGCTCAAAACAGATCAATAAAATAAAGTTCTCTTGACTTGAAGTCGTGATATTGTGGGAACCTGACCAAGAAACCTTGAGTTCGTATGAGGGTTCTTACTCTGTGTCCCACTAGTTTCAAGTTTTTTTTTTACCCCTAAACCCTAAATTTTAGATCCTAAATCCTATAATTTTAAGGTTATGTCACCGGGGTTTCTTATCAATTTCTTGCGGCTTTTCCGAGAATATATTCCTAAGACTCTAAGACCACCTACAGCCCGAACCAGAACCCTAGACCCAAAGCCCTGAAGTAGCCTAAACCCCGCTCTTCTTGTTAAGGTGTCTCTGCTACATGTGTCAGTGTGTACATGAGGATGCTCATAAGCTGCTACAAGGGGGGCCTTTATAGTTAGACCGCTTTCTACTTTAATGTAGGTATCTTGGGGCTATGATGGGATATTACGATTGTCGCTTTAGACCTCCATTATGCGGAAACAGCAACGAGTTGGCATCGTCGACACCCGCAATTCATCTTCCACACTCGCTTGACAGCACAGCTCTACCGATAATCAACACATTAAAGCGGATACGTTTCACAGATGTTTATTTAAGAGTTGCTTCCCGTTTACTTTCTTTTTGAGTTTCCCGTTTACTGTTTCGCAGGCAGATACACACAAATGATTACTGATTACCTCAGGTTTCAAAGTGGAGAACCGCCCAGACAGTGAATTCGCCCGCTGGTACTTAGCCCGCACAGCGTGCTGCAAGAGCCACAACGGCCTGCGCATGCACGTGCATATCCACCTCAGGCAGTTACTATTCTTGACTTCAACTAGTGTGCTAATTACGTTATTGGAAACCCCTAACCTCTGAGCATTACCCATAGGCCCCATAGCAGTTCCTTTTTGGGGTGCATATTTAGAATCCTATTAGGTAATCCCAAAAAGGAACCACTATGGGGCCTATGGGTACGCCCATGCATAAACCCAGGACGACTGATGCATGAAGCCACATAGGCCTGCAAGCGTCTCCTGGGTGCGTGAGCACGTTCGCAATGTCGTGACCAGCATGTACTCGAATGGGTTTATGGATTAGGGTATAGCGTCTCGGGTTTAGGGATAAAATAAATAAATACATATATATATATACACATTTACACATAGGTTTAGATCTGTATGTGTGTATATATACACACACACACACATGTACACACCCCAAGCCGGAGCCCATACCTCCAAACCCATCAGCAAACCTTCTGCGCTTTCTCAATAGTCTGAGTCGGGGCCTTGGTTTAAAGCTGCTGCTGCACAGGTTTAGGGTTTGCAGATCTCGAAGTTCCAACGTAACTACTCGCGTTGTGGAGGTCAGAGTACCAAGTAGAAATGAGTATATCATCCCTATAGACAGTTGTACACTATCATCTACCCCAGGACGCTAAACTTGAGGCAACATTACATACACTTCACGGCTGCCTGCTGGCTGGTTGGAATTTGTCAAACTGTCCAGGCACCTAGTTGCGATTAACACCCGGTTGGCATGCAGATGTAAGCACAACTGAACCCTAAACCCTACAAATCAGCCCTTCAACCCGGATCCCCAGACCCTCCGTACACCCTAAACTCTAAACCCTAAACCCTAAACCCTAAACCCTAAACCCTAAACCCCTAAACCCTAAACCCCCGGAACCAGGAGTGCTTGGAATGATTCGTGTTCGCTGCACAGAAACTTCTCGAGGCTTCCTGTCATGGACAGATGATTCGAGATAGGCTCCTGTTTGAAGTCTTGCCTGTAGTCTCCATTGTAGTTCTTTGTTTTGGTTTAACCATGCAATTATATATTCAGGATTTTATAAGGCATCCTCAAAAAGGAACTACAATAGAGACTATAGGTAGGGTTAAGTAGAGTTGAGGACTCAAAAGGAACTACAATGGAGACTATAGGTGTATAAAGAGGCTATTTGTCCAGGAGCTTCGCGGCGCAAAAGAACGCCTGCTCATGTCGCACATGACATGATTCCCCTAAGGGCCCATGTACCGAACTAGTCTATACTTTGGCCTCGAAGTAGTCGCTATTTTGGTACTTTGGGGCCACAGTATATACTATTTGGGGACATGGACCCTTAGGGTTCGATAAAGAATCCAAGCTTGGCAGTGGTCTTGACGCCACAATGAGCAGATATCTTCTTGTAGTCATAACCAGTTCGCATGAACCATGCCGATGACGGCCGCAACAACGAGCCAGCACTCCTAACCTATGATTTACGCTTCCTGCACCTGCACCAGGCTCGCCAAGCTTCCCGGGTTCTGTGCTGCCTACGCGACGAACCTTCACCGCCCGACAGAGAGGCAGAAGGAGCCGGTACTTTACTAGTAGCGAGTTTTTCTTGCTGTGCGGCAGAATTGCAGCTACATGTACATATACAAACATATATATATATATATGCTCGCCCCCCCCCCCCATGATCTACCATCGGTGGTTCTGGGGAGTGGGGAGAACACGCACAGTAATGTAACTGAAACTGTTCCAAGCCGGAACTCTCCTGCTGCGTTGTTATACTGTACGATATGTGATGCCGTGTCGTCTATTGTGTGTTCATGTATACTAAGGCCCTTACACGTC